GAGCAGCCTATTGTTCACATTGCAGCCTGTTTAACTCCTTCAGCAGCTGAGAAAGCAGGCATTTTGCTTCCTTAACTTCTGCTTGTCTCTCCTTCTCTTTAATTTGACAGGGACTGAGTAAGTGGCACTTCATGAGCCAATTGCTCTAAGGGTATAGGAATACACACACACATACCCTTCCATCATGCACAGAAGATGAGGTGTGAAGAGAGGGTTGTGTGCATGCAATGATATTTGTATTCACATAATCATAGAATTGCTGGATTGGTCAGGCAGGGCTCCATTCTCCTTCAGGTGATTAAGATCCTGCGCCCCAAAATGTCCCCAAGTAGGTTATTGCTGGAGCAAGTGTTCTGCTTGGAACTATCCAAGGTCCTGAAATGCTAGCTCCATCCAATTGATGTCTGAACCACTACCTGCCTGAACCACCCTCAAACTTCTACTGAGTCCCATGTTCAAGGATGAAGGTTCTTGGAAGCTGGGGAAGTCATCTGGTAACTAAGAAGAACGTAGCCAGAGGCTCTAGAAAATTGCTTGGTGATTACAAGTTGATCCTACTGGAGAAAGAGAGAAAACCCTATGCCCTTGGGCCACCTTGCTTTCTGGCTCAGTGGATCACCCACTTTCTGATCTACAGATGAAGTTCTGGTTGGTCTGAAATTGCATGGAGTTCCTCCCTCTTGCTAGCAGGCTTAAGAACATAGGAACATATGTAAAGCCAGTTTAGGCCAAAGGGGGCCTATCTAGTCCAGCATCCTATTCCCACAAGGACCAGCCAGGAAAGCAGGATTTGAGCCCAAAAGCCCTCTCCCCTCCTATGGTTTCCAGCAACTGGTATTCAGAAGCATTAACACCAAAGTGACATATTAATATTTGAATGTAGACATGGGCAGGTTTAGAGGTAGTCCCCCAAGCTGGCTGGGTAGGTGAAAACACACCTGAAATAAAATGGGGAGCGTATTTGCTTGCAAGGTAGAGGAATTGAATCATTCACTCCAACTTTCTTCACACAGCACTGAGGTTAATGTTAATTAATTTAGATGAGATCCCTAGTAAAAGCCAAAAGGGAGGTCATTTGTAGAGGTTTCATATTGGTGTCAAAACGTCTTACTCCAGCCCCAAATCTTCACTTATGTATTCATCCAGAGTTGCATTCCCCCTGCTCTCAGTCTCTCTCCAAATGATCTGATGACCATTAGCAAATCACTTTGCCATGTGTGGAATATTACTCTTTTGTGGACCATCATATCTCAGAAAGACATTAAAATATGCCCTGATTACTGACCGCGCTGATTATTATAAATCTTTATTTCCACATTCCTGAGGAGGGAAGTTGCTTTTGTGGGTACAATTTATTCAAAACTGTAGGAGCCAAAGGCTTCTCTCTGGAACTTAAAAATATAATGAGAGCATGGGAGCCTCTTGGAAAGAAATAGAAAACTCATCTTCAGATCCTTTTGATCCTTTCGCCTTGCATGAGGAGAAGCCTTGTCATATGTTAAATTTGCTCTTACATTTAAACTTTTCCATCCTGCACTGAGAGCATCTATGAAAGAACTCTTTCCTGTCTGGTTCCACAGTGGTTCATGGTTTACAGATCCAGGGACCACAATCTGATGGGCCTGGGCTCTTTGGCTGAGGCCTCGTCATATTGCAGGGACTGGGTCAGTCTCCAGAATCTCTTTCTCCATCCTCCGTGATCTGACAGTTCTGGTTGGCACCTCTCAGTCTGAGCCAAAGACCAGGCTGGTGTTCATAGCAGAGGTCCTGAGCAGTGGTGTGATGGAAGGGGAATGGTGGAGAGCAGAGCTCTAGGACCTCTTTCAGTGCAAGAGCAATGATGTCATTTCCTGGAGCGTCAGAGCAACTAGTGGGTTCCCTTTGCACTAACAAGTGAATGGGATGATATTTGGGCTTCTGTATTTGTTACAGATTAGCATAGAGCAAGCTAACAATGGCATAGGAACATACACAGAGCCAGGGAATTAGTCTGTCTAGCTCAGTGTTGTCTAAAGCGACTGGCAGCAGAGGAAAAGTTCTCTCCCTTTCTCCTAACACTAGAACTCATTGAAGCTGAATGTTGGAAGACTCAGGACAGATAAAAGAAAGTCCTTCTTCACACAGTGCATAGTTATATTATAGAACTTGCTCTCACAGGAGACAGTGATGGTCGCCAGCATAGATGGCTTTAAAAGAGAATTAGACAAATTCATGGAGGAGGGAGCTGTCTCAATTTACCACTACACCTGTCCTGATATTCTAACAAAAGCATAGAATACAAGGAAGGACAGTGATGGTAAAAATACCCTGAATACCTACTTACTTTTGGTCTACGTATTGGGTTTGCCTGAGTATGATGCTAATATATCATATTGTAAGAGCAGAAGAATGTAATAATATATATATTTCTTTACTGCCCTTCATCTGACAATCACAGGGCAGTTTGAAATATAATAGGGCTGCCTTACACCCGGGATTTCAAAGGCGAAATTTATGTCCGAATTTCCAAAAGGCAGCACTTTGTCCGGGATCTCAGACAAAATCGTGTTTTTCTGGCATTTTTGTAAAAAAAGAAAAAAAGGCTCAACAATTTTGGGGGTGTCCTGGTTTTTAACTTTTTGAAATATGGCAACCCTACAATATAAATTCACAAAAATGCACAACATAGTAACAAGTAAAACCAACAACCCGCTCATACACAGTTTAAAAGGCCTTAGGATTGTTTAATTAGCCAAAAGCCTGGGGAATGTTTTTGCCCGGTGCCTAAGCATATGCAACAAAGGCTTGTAGGTTAGAAAAGGATAGCCGCTACATTAGCAGTGGATCTGCCTGAATCAAATGGGTCTCCTTTCTTTGGCAAGTGGCACACAACCAGAAGGCATGTGAAAGGATCCCTCCAGTTTGCATCCTCCATGAGAAAGAGCTATTGCATCAACTGTATCATATGCTACTTCTTAGCACATGGCAGAGCTGTGAAGGGTAGAGACAGAGACAGAGAACCTACAGAAACCACGAGTTCCCCTGACAGATGTATCTTATTTCTATGAGCCATGTGGCTTTCCTTAACAAAACCCTGCTGAATCTGGCCAATAGTCCATCTAGGCCAGCATCCAGTTCTCACAGTGGCCAAGCAGATGCCTCTGGGAAGCTTGCAAGCAGGCTACATCTGCTATTCAGAGGCATTACTGCCTCCAACAGTGGAGGTAGAACATAGCTATCGTGACTAGTATCCATTGCATATCATCTTTAAGAAATGTGGAAATCAATGTGTCAAACTGAAATGAAACATTTCAAAAGTTAGTGGTATTTAAGGTGCTGAGATATACTCCAGATAGACTGAGTCCATCCGTCGTCGTCCCCCCCCCCCAGCCTGCCTTCTACTTCACTCTTCTCCCCCCCCCCCCTTTTAGGGTACTTCTCTGACTTCGTTAGAAAGGAATAATATATTTTCATTAGGCTTAAATTGACTGTTAGGCCTGTGAGAGTCTTTGCTTAAAATGATTGCCAGGAGTGGTTTACTAAAACCAGACTCCACTTTCTGCCATTATTATCTCCTCCGCGAAAGAGGCAAAAAGGCAAGTGTGTTGATTAATCACCTCCAAATATATGAAGAATCTATGAGCTTGTTTCTCTTTGTGGAGAAACCTTGTTGAAATTACTGCAAGGCAGCTTTGCTTCTGCTAATAATGATCAAACGGTCAATGCAACTTATTCGAAAGGATATCATAAGGCTATTTATAAAGGGTTGTATCCAGTATTAGACATACGCAGACTAGACCCATTGCAATTAATGGAGATTATTTACTTAGGTCAAAGCGGCCTAAATTTCAACCCCTCTTCTTGGGGAGCTGTGGAAATCAGTGCCCTTAACAAACTATAGTGCCCAGGAATCTCTGGAGGAAGAAGCCATGACTGTTCAAAGTGGTATGATACTGCTTTGAAATGTATAGCGCAGACAGGACCCAGAAACAATCCAAAACAAGTCTCCCAGTTATGGTAACCTTCCATTAAACCTTTAAGTGTACTGGCTGTTGTAGCATTGTTGACAAAGAATGAATGCTAAGTTTGGCACAGTCCGTGGTTAAACATACTCAGGGCTGGTTCCAGGACTATGAGGGCTCTCTATAAAGTGCTATCTGTTGGGCTCCCATCAGTATCCCCCTGATGTGGGGCTCACCTTGCTCAGAAGTCAACATTCAAAATTCCCTATGGTGCTCCACAGAGTGCTACGTCAGGCGCTCCAGGGCATTATAGGAAAATGCGAAATACAGCTTTCCAGACCAAGCTACATGATGTAGACAGTGGAACTGATGGCCCCTCTTGGATGCTGGGACTCAGGCAGCTTCCTACAGATGCCAGACAGCATTGCTACACCTAAACATACTCATTAAGGCCTATTTAGGACCACCTGGTGTTATGTATGACATCAGGTGCTGGACAGGTGACAATGTGGCTGGGCCAAAGCATGTTTGCAAATACCATCAACCAGTTGATTGCAATTTGCCAGTGCCAACAATCGGCTGATTATCAAAGCTTGCATAGCTCAGCGCTTGCCGCTCTGTATGCCCTACCCATCTGTCAGACTTGTGGCGAGATCAGAATTTGGCCCACTGACTAGGTTGTTTGAAGCAAGCCACCATATGCAACACTGTGATAATAATATTGATGTACCTTACAAAGCTTTTGAATGCATTCCTTAGGGGCATTTGAAATACTCTCTGTGTAACGTTTTTGCTCAGCAGGCCTGAATTCAGTGCCTAAGTGCTCACCATTCTCTAACCAGAAACTCTAAATTGGACTGAAGTAATCTGCAAGCATTTTATCTGCAATGTGGTCCTTACATAATATTTGGAAGGAATGGAGCACCCTTCCACTGAGCTACCACCCCCTGCAAAGCACAGCTCTGATGCTAGCACATGCAAGAATGTGCACACAATCGCCTGGATGTTTTTTTTACCCCCAGGCAAACAGGTAAGTGTATCCCATCTCAAGACCACTTATGCCTATTCACCCTAAAGGACACTGCTGGTAAGGGGGAAACTATGTGCTCAGTCACCACAATCCTGGGCAATAATTTTTAATGGATCCATCTGAGACTACAAAGATATTACAGTTCATAGGGTTTCGAATGGATTGTGGGAATCTAACAACAAATGTGGTTATTCAGGTATTATTAATAGCAGATATTTCCAGAGCTTTAATGATAGAAACCCTTTCATCTAAAGTAAGGTGCTGCTCCTTCCAGCAATCGATAAGTTGGCTCCCATCAACCTTTATTTAAAATATCCCAATGCAATGTCCCTGTAAATCATTCTTGTGACAATTTTGGGATCAAATTAATAGCTTAGGTCTTTACCTTCATAGCTAGCAAATGCTGTGCTCTCGATTGTCAGAATATTTGCCCTAATATCTGTCCCTAAGCAATATATGAAGAAGAACAGCCTCTTGATCGGCCTTTCCACCTGTTTTGCCTCCCTGAGTTATTCTGATTAAATTTATATATTCATTTCCTCAGGGGGAAGAGGAAACTTTTGCTCAACACAGTGGGATTATACCTTCACAGAGACTGAAGATTAGAGTTCTTGGCCAGGGTGTTTGAAAGTCAGTCAACAGTCTAACAAATTAGCAACAGACCTATTTTCTCTCCCTAGCAACCAACTTTATAAACAATGGCTGGCAGCTCTCTCACACACCACTCAAGCAAGAACCTTTATGACATGTACAATAAGAACATTGAAAGAAAACAGAATTAAAATCAGCCCCGATGTAGTGAGTTTATTTTTATTGCCCACTATCTATTGGCCCAGTAAAAAGAAGTGCAGATCTCTGAGCACAGGTCCCATATGTTGACACGGTCAGTGATGTGAAAATAGGTGGCCTGACCACAAAACTGGCAAGAACCAGTTAAAGAGGAACTTAATGGCTAAATGTTGAAGAGGAAAACAATTTGAGTTAAGGTACAATGAGGGGTTTGATGTGCATAGTAAAAAAAAGGGATGAGTAAGTTGTACTTCAAGGATTGTGGTTGGATGAGAGATAATGAAGTGCTGGAGGTGGTTGGGTAAAAGGTGAACAGCTAAGATAATGTATAGTTACTCTATATAGTATGTGTCCTACTGGAAATGCTCTTTCATATTCTTTGGACTCTGACTGGTAATGCATTACTGACTCCTTGGGAATTCAGTGTGTGAGCCTCTGTACTTGAACTCTTAAGGGAAATTTCTCCCACATCAGTAATCATGCTGAGCATTCAGCACTAACTTCAACTTCTGGATTAAGTGCAAAGGAAGCCCCACATTGCAGTTATCCAGTCTCGAAGCAACCAATGCATAAACTAAGGTGGCCCAGCCAGCTCTCTCCCAGTCCAGAAATGGTCATAGCTGTTGTCACTGCTGTTTTTCTTAAAAAAAAAAACATGTGTAGGGGTACTCTCATTTTCCTACTCATATTGAAATACTGTCCCTCAATGAGGCCAAACTTAGATTCACAAAATGTTTAGGGGCAAGCATACCCCTGCATACCCCCAGACTGGCTGTTGCACCAGTCGCAGCTGGTAAGAGGCACTTTTAGCCACTGAGTAGCCAATTGCTACATACACCCCAAGTAGCATGCTAAATCATTTCCCAAACCATGGCTGCTGAGACTCACTTTGAACATGGGAGCAGCGTAACATATTAGAAGACCAATATGCTTTGTTTCCTAACTGTAAGAAAGAAAGAAATCTTTGCTTTGCTTTGAAATCTGGGCAGGACAGGCTTTTTTCAGGAAAAAAAGCAACAAAAGCAGAGTGTTCACAGAGCTGCTGTGAAATGTGGGAGGGTATGTTCTTAAGGAAATCAGCCCTGAGTGCACACTGGAAGGACAGCTCCTGAAGCTGAGGCTCCAATACTTTGGCCACCTCATGAGAAGAGAAGACTCCCTGGAAAAGACCCTGATGTTGGGAAAGATTGAGGGCACAAGGAGAAGGGGACGACAGAGGACGAGATGGTTGGACAGTGTTCTCGAAGCTACAAACATGAGTTTGACCAAACTGTGGGAGGAAGTGGAAGACAGGAGGGCCTGGCGTGCTCTGGTCCATGGGGTCACAAAGAGTCGGACACGCCTAAACAACTAAACAACATGTTATTAAATTGCCATATGAATCTGTTATTGAGTGAGTGAAATTATGAGTATATCATACTACTGAGATTTATAATTCTCATAGTACTGATATTTATAATTCTGACTACCAGTTTAGTCATTTCCAGGTCTCATAGGAGATGCAGTGGGGGGTTGCAATGCTCCAAGATATACTTTGCTTTATGCATTTGGGTCCAGATCCCAAACCAAGAATAATTATACCCCATTGGCAGTGATGGGGCTCAGGGTACTATTTAGTTCAGGGGGGATTAAATACCACTATTTCTTTCTTTTTTTTTTTTTTTTTTTTTTTTTTTCCCTTTGGAAAAGAAAATGTGAAATTATGTTAAGACGAATGTTATATTGTTTATTACATTTATTTCTATTGTAAAATTCAATAAATTGCTTTAAAAAAAAAAAATAAATACCACTATTTCATTTTTGAAAAGTATCGAAGCTGTTTACATCAATGGTATTATTGTTGTTCTTAATTAAATTTCTATGCTGCCCTTCATCTGAAGATCACAGGGCAGTTTACAATATAATAACACAAAAAGACATACCATAATAACAAAAAAACTCCATGTATTATAATTTATTAAATTTCTATACACAAAACAATACAATAAAAACCACATTTAAAAGGTAAAATCAGAAACTAGCTAACTGTTTTGGAAGGATGTACCTTTAATTGCCTGAGTAAGTCTGATGGAATAGAAAAGTTTTCAGCTGGCGTTTAAAAGTTGAAAAGGGAAGTGCCTGCTGAAATCTCTATTGGCAGCTCATTCCAGATGACACTAAAGGCCCCTGTTTCTGGTTGAGCCTCACCAACTTTTGGGATGACCAATGGTGCTTCTGCAGATGATCTCAGTGGTCAAATTGAGATATAAGGGTTGAGATCTGTGAGGTACCTAAGTTGTTCAGGGTTTGTGAATTAATACACAAACTTGAACCTGGCTCAATTATTCATTACCAACTTGTTTTATTGGTTTGATTGGGACCTGAGACCAGAATATACATGATCCAGGAGATCTGAGATGGGATCTCATAACATTTATAGTTTTAAAAACAGCTGGAAGGGGGTGGGTTGGCTTGGGCAGAAGAACAGCAGGGGGATTTTTAACTCCTTCCCATGCTGTTTTCTTGATTAAACTGTTATTAGCTCCATTCATTGAGGAGGAGGTGGTGGTGGTGGTGGTGGGGAGACACCTGTATTTTGCTTGTCACTTCTCCACCAGTGAGGATAGTAGCAGCTGCTGCCACGACCACTGGGATTTGTTAAATATACCACTTAATCAGCAAAACCTTTAAGTGATTTCTGTAAAATGCAGAATTACAGACAAAATCAATTGTTAAAAACAAGTTAATCTAAAATTTCTCCAAAATGAAGCCATTCACTTTAATATATATGTTATAAAAAATAAAATTACAATGAGGGCTTTCCCTCATTGCAAAACACTGAGCTAGAGGAATTCAGGGGATCTCCCACCTCCCCACTCTGCATTTGGATGAAGAGCGCTAGAACTTAATTAACCAGTCCTCGTAGATGCAACGGCTTAACAAAACAAAATAATTGCACGACAAAGTCCTTTCTCTGTTGCCTTATTTCATGTTTGGTTGCCGTGTGGTTTCTTACTATACTGGCAACTGTGTTATTAACTTGCTGATTCCAGAGATAATGGTATTTAATTAAACTACTTTGCAGCTTACTACTGTTTGGGGAGCTTGCTAATTAATCTTTATGTAATTGCTTTGCGATGGAGTATAGCAAAAGTAGTTAAATTATACATTCTCCTTCTCACATTGCATCTCATTTTGGAATATAAGCACTTGCTAACAAGGAAAGAGGGAAGAGGTCATGTTTTAACTCTATTGTATCTGTCTGATGCAAGGCTAGCTTCGGGGATGTTGGCACCCTAGGCAAACTTGCCAGGCAGTTCGGGTCTATGTACTGGCAAAAGCCCTTCCCACAATGGCTGGGGAAGTGGGGAAGATATGGGGCAGGGGTGCAACAATCAGGCCTCAGAATATCAGCTTGGAAGTGCAGAAGGATGGCTTTGTGCTTATTTCAGCAACACAATCAGAGGTGCCGTTAGGTCATTTCAGACCCTGGACTTTATAGACTTATGGAGGATGGCATCTCTAGATGGTAAGGAGTGCTATTTAACTTACTGTACACTTTGGAGCCCAATTCAAAGTGCTGACTTTGACCTATGAAGCTCATCGTGGCACAGGTCCTCAATGTCTTCTGGAACATCTTGACAAATATATGAACCTACTTGGACCCGTAAATCTTCATCTGAGTCCGAGTCCTTCTTCTGATGGAGGCTTGCAGGAGTGTAAGGGACAGGGTATTTTCAGCTGTGGTTCCTCATCTATGGAATGCTCTTCTTTGTGAGCCCACCTAGGGCATCTGATGACATTTCTGTGCCTGTTAAGGACTACCTTTACCCCTAGGCTCTTGATGGAGTGAGCAGATTTTGTTCTGCTGTTAGCAGATACATTATCAGTAAAACCCGTGCTTTAAAATACAATAAATCCATCAATCTCCACAGTAAAGAATGCAATTACTATAGAAGCTTGGTATTAATGGCTAGCAGTTGCCCGAGTCAATATTTAGCAATTGCCAAAAACTTATCATAATTGGCACTTCCCTTGTTTCAGAGAGGAGAAGATACAAACTGGGTGCCACCATGGAGAAGCCCCTCCCTCAAGTTGTCGGATGATAGCTCTCAGCAGGCTATGGTCCAAGCAAGAGGCCCTCATCTGGAGATCTCCACAAACAGTCAGGTCTCTATGGTAGTCTTTCAGATAAGCTCATCCTGAGTTGTTTAGGGCTTTATAAGTCAACAATAAAACCTCTCTTTCTGACATTCTTTTGAAATAAAAAGGATTCTAGAGGGAGGTTCATATCTTGATCCAGAATCTGGGACGGGTCCCTTCAATTGATTTCCTTACAGTTTAGATGAATGCAGAACAAAAGCAACATGCTGTTCAAGCCAGCTGATCAATCTCAGACAACTATCATCTGTTCACACTGCAACTCCATTAGTTAGCAAGAAATTAAATATTGCTCCCAAGCACTGTAAAAGAAATGTTTTTTTCTCTCTCTCTCTTCAGGAATGTCAGTCCAAATGCTTATGCAGTGTTGAGAGATGGGCAACTGCAGAACAGAGGTGTGGTTGGCCCAAGGTCTAGTATTTAGCTAGTATTGGCATTTAGATGCATGCTGTCCAGGTGATAATAAAGTTTTGGGATACCATTAAAACTCCACCTTTCATTTGTGGTGTTCCTGGCTTTTTCATATCCTCTGTGGTTTTGCATCTTCCCATTGAAGTTATGTGACTTTTCCTGTGTGGTTAAGCAAAGGCACTTTTAAAAAACAGCCTGTTTTCTTCCTGAGCATCTTGCCTGTTCCATGGACCAGAATATAGTAGGAAATACAGATTTTCTTCTCTCCATCCCAAGAGAAAGAAGGATTTCCTGTCTATCTACTAGGCAATAGAACATAAGCTAGAAGCTGTTTCTTCTTCTTCTTCTTCTTCTTCTTCTTCTTCTTCTTCTTCTTCTTCTTCTTCTGTGTTGGAATCAAAGTTAGCTAAGTAGAGTGTTCACAAGTTGGAGCATTATATCCAGGTAAGGGTTTGGTAGTAGAAATTGCCAGTCACCACAGTGGGGATGATCAAGAGAGGAGGTGAATGTCTTCCTTTGGTTGTATCCAGCGGGAGGCAGCAGTGAAAGCAGACACTTTATTAGTCAACCATGAGTAACAGCATGGTTGCTGACTGCATATCCACTCCAACACAGTTTCTTTGCTGGCTAGCCAGTCAGCAAAGTACCTCAGGCACTTTCTTATTTAGCATTGACTGAAGACCACCAGTGTGTGCAGGCTTGTTGAGATCAGGGATTCACACCCCCCTTCAATTACCCTGCAGTGCTGACCAAAAAAGAGTGAACTTTCTATAAGCACCCTTCTATTCTCCTAAGCAGCCAAAGAACATCAAGAAGGGTATATTAATGATCATACTGACTCTGGAACTGGGCTTGTTTAGCCCTACAGACACCCAGGGCAGCTACTCAGTCCAGCTATGTGTTGCAACAACTACTGTATTTGTGTGTGTTTACAATGCATATACAGTGATACCTCGGGTTACAGATGCTTCAGGTTACAGACACTTCAGCTTACAGACTCTGCTAACCCAGAAATAGTACCTCGGGTTAAGAACTTTGCTTCAGGATGAGAACAGAAATTGCACTGTGGCGGCAGCGGGAGGCCCCATTAGCTAAAGTGGTACCTCAGGTTGAGAATAGTTTCAGGTTAAGAACGGACCTCCAGAACGAATTAAGTTCTTAACCCGAGGTACCACTGTAGTATCAGCAACAGGAATCCAAACAGGATCCTTACAGATAGCAAATCAACACTCCATTTAATTGCCTCTGTATTTCTGATGCCCTGCAACCAGCTCCTGACAGAGTGTGTCCCTGGCGTGCAGGAAGCAGGCGTATTAACACTCCCCCCGCACCGCCCCATGTGTGCATTGCAAGTCTCTAAACACAGCACTTAGCTATATGGAGAGAGACTCAACCAAGTGTAATGAATTTTATTACATAGCAGCTGTTCAAATAAAGGAAAACAAATTTGCCTTAATAGCTACTTGATGAACAGTCCCTGGTCTTTTTCAAAAGACAGCAGCAATGTGAGTGGAACTATGGTGATAACTTACAGCAAGGTCATGGAAGAGGCTATACCAAAGGTAAACTCTACTTCAGTGTGTCGTCGGCAAGTTAGCTCCGAGCTGAAGCCATGAATGCTAGATGATCTAAGGCCAATGTTTCTGTACAATTGCACATAAGGCAAAACGCAAGCTTCAAGACAATGGCAATAAGAGCAATGACCTTCGCCCATTGTCATTTGCTGCCCTTATGCCTGAAATACCTTGCCATAAAAACTATATTATGTTCTCTTTTCCATCCTCCTATAAACCCACATCTTCAGTTAAGTTCTTGGCTAAACCCCTTAGTGTTCGCCCTCAGCTGAAACTGAAATGATGTCTAAATATCCCCACTTGGGCAGGATTCATAGACGAGGTAAGATGAGAGTGAGCTTTTGTTTTGGTAATGGCACTGGAGGCTACAGGTGCCTGAGAATTCCAATGAAATAGAGAAGAGAGGGGGGTGGGAAACCTAATGCTAGATCTCATGGATAGCCAATGAAGCTGAATGTTGAAAGACTCGAGACAGATGAGAAAGTACTTCTTCATGCAGCTTAGACTCAGGTGGCAGTTCCCTCAGGTGGCAGTGATGGCCACCAGTCTAGATACCTTTCAAAGAGGATGGGACAGATTTATGGAGGACAGAACTATCAATGATCACTTGCCATGATGACTATGTTCTGTCTCCACGGTCGGAAGCAGCAATGCTTCTGAATACCCATTGCTGGAACCACAGGGGGAGGGGGAAGAGCACTCTTGTGCTTGAATCCTGCTTGCATGCTCTTCTAATGTTCTGATGATAACAGGAATGGAAATTGCCAGCGTTCACTTATTCAGCCCATGTACAGAGAAGAAATCCATCTGAATTCATTGTTGTTGCTGCTTTCAGTCTGCAAATGATACACAATTGATCATCTTTGCATTGCTCTCCCTTTGCATTCAAATGAATGGAATAGGACGTAAGGACAACATAACTTAGGGCTCATCCCCACTTCCTCTTGTCCCATCGCTTTCCCCTGGGGGAAAATTCTCTTTAGCATTCAACTGGAGCAAACAGCAATTGGGGCTTTCTCTGGATTAATGTTTGCTCCGATATAAGAGCAAGTTTCCCCTGGTAAAAAGAGCTAGGCAAGGGGAAAACTGCTCAGACCAGTTCCTAGGAAGCATGGGTCAAGCAGAAAAGGCATTTAGGCATTGCTACAGAGGGCAGAACAGTTGGTACAATCAAAGATGGTGGAAGAGTATCTAAGGGAGTTTTAGTAGTGATAGTGGAGCTTTCAATAAATACCTTGTGTCTCAGCAGAGCAGCAATGAATTGTGCAGAAAAAAGAGATCTATCCCAATCCACTCAGACCATCTGCAGTTTTGTATGCAACCATTTTATTTCCTTGCTGGATATTATTGTCTCCTGTTAAGTTTTAAGCTGTTAAATTATTCTCTGTGCAAAAGTGGTGGGGGGGAGAAAAGAACTGTTATTTGCCCCACTAATATGGAAGGCAACGGCAGGAGTGGGAAATTGCATGCAAATTCTGCACAACAACAAAAGGAACGTAGAGGATAACAAACTTTATATTTTCAGCTTTTTGCCCAGAGCTGTGAACTCTTCTTACCATTTCAATAGGTTTCCTTATCTCCTTTTGTCCATACTTGCTGACAGGAGCTAAACACTTCCATCCATCCCAGCCTATTTCTTGTATTTAATCAAATGGCTCAGCAATGACATGTTTGGCGACAGCGGACTTAGTTACCCTGCTGAGATAAAGGGTTGATCAATGTCCTATTATTCTTTCATTTATTGGCTTTCCTTTCATCACTGTGCACTCCTGGCTCCTGTTTTCTCAAGTTTAATGAGCTGTGCCCTGGCCCCTTTTTGCTATCCTTTCACTATCTGTTCCAGCCTGAGAGCTGCATTCCTTCATGGGGGAACCTGCCAGTGGCTGCATGCCAGCGGTGGGCAGGGCCAGAGAAAAAAGGGGTGGAGCAAGGGATGGGATTCTGACCTCTGTGCAACAGGCTGCGTGGCAGCTAATGCAGAAGTCAAAATGTTCTATACCCACATCTCTCCATCCTCAATGCAAAAGGAATCAACACATTCCAGCCAATAAAGCACTAAAACTACATCATATTTATCACTTTATTTTACAAGCTTTAAATACTATTTAATCAACAACAAACTTTACATAAAACAAAATATTCATTACAAAAATGCAAGAGAAATCAATCATTAAAAACAAATTTACACAAAATTTATCAAAATATAAATAAAACCAGCAGATTTAAAACAAATATACATAGTAAAATGACATGAGCCTTCCCATAAGCCTTTTTCAGATCAGTAAGGTAAAGGTAAAGGATCCCTGGACGGTTAAGTCCAGTCAAAGGCGACTATGGGGTTGCGGCGCTCATCTCGCTTTCAGGCCAAGGGAGCCGGCGGTCATCCACAGACAACTTTCCAGGCCATGTGGCCAGCATGACTAAACCACTTCTGGCACAACAGGACACTGTGATGGAAGCCAGAGCACACGGAAATTCCATTTACCGTCCCACTGCAGCAGTACCTATTTATCTACTTGCACTGGTGTGCTTTTGAATTGCTAGGTTGGCAGGAGCTGAGACAAAGCAACGGGAGCTCATCACATCACACAGATTCGAACTGCTGACCTTCTGATCAGCAAGCCCAAGAAGCTTGGTGGTTTAGACCACAGCTCCAACAGCATCCCTTTTCAGATCAGGAAGGGTTGGACACTGCAGGTAGAGGCTGTAGAGTGTTGGATGAATGTATAATGGCCACCGTCGGGTAAAGTCACCCTATAGCGGCCAAAACTGTAAAGAAATATTTTCAAAAATTCAAAAGTATTATCTGAACTAGACAGAAAAACCGAAGCCCCTTTCATGGTGGGTGGGGGGAGAAAACCCCCATGAAGAAAGTCATATCATGATTGGAGGGGGGGAAATTCACTCCTTTAAGGCAAGAGAAAAAGAACAGATCAGTACTACCTGTGGAGTGCCTTCAACATGTGATGAAATTGCTTAAATGGATGAAGAGTTCAAGTCTGTGTTCTTTGAAGGTATTAAAATTCAAGATATAAAGGAAGATTAAAGTGTGCCCTGGCAGTTTTTTGAGAAGGGAAAGGGGGGAAAAACACCCAGATGCTTTTGATGTCTATTATCTGTGTTTAGAAAAATCTATATGTGAGCTGGCATTGTAGCTTCCCCAAGAGTCAGAGACTTCAGATGACTCATGGCCAAAAGTATCAATCAATGCTCTTCATTTTTGTACACAAGTTTCCAAGAGCTGGTCCTCCCAGCCAATTTCAAGAGCACAGAGGGAGGTCTCTCAAGAGGGCAACTGGATTATAGATTCTACTTGGTATGCTCTACTAATCCAGTATTGTTTGTAACTCAATTTGCTACTCAAAATATTGCACTGCTGAGTGCTCCTGTTCAGGGGTCTGGCCAGGCAGCCAATCAAATGCACCGTCTCCTAGAATACTGCATTCTACATACACCCACTTTTCACTCTCCTCT